CTCCACTTGTACTCGCCAGCAAATTGGTACTAACTGAGGAACACTAGGGTGATCACATGGCAGAAATACTCTCTAGGGATTAGGGGGATGGAGGGGTAAGCCCACAACTAAAGGGCATGGGAAGCATTGTAGGGGCGAAGGGCATGCCTTTAAACCCTTGCTTGGGTGAGGCAAAGACATAAAGTGTAACCAAAATGTGTGTGCCCTCATAATACCCTGAAATAAAAAATTTAAAAAATGGGCTTTGAATAAGTTAATTTATGTGGAATGATAATTTGTCTAAAGTTTTACTAAATTTAATTTTCACATCTACTAAGGAACATAAACATATATTCAGATTCAGGTGAGAATTACATTTACTTATCACTTAGTGCCATATGAACATGTTTCATAACTTTTATAGGATGTCATTACTATGGAGACAGTCACAGTGATTTTGCCACATTTGTATCATCTGTATCATTTGCCTCATACATAGATACAAAAAAGGCTCAGTAATTATTTTGAAGTTAGCATGAATGAATGAATGAATGAATGAATTATAATTAAAAATCAATATGGATATAAGCCAAGAACAAAATGCATGTTTATAGCATTGCTCTGCTCTCATGTTTCTGATGATACCTGATGATAAATGAAAATAAGGCATAAAGATAGTGGCACATAACTAGAGTCTGCTAAATTCACAGCTACTATTAGTGTACCCCTCACTCAGCTGGCCCATATTGCCTTTCTCCAAAGGCAGTAAATGACACAGCCTACCAGTTGTCTCTCAACAAGTTGGCTAATTATTACTAACTGAATTAAACTGATTAGTTCAAGGCAGTTCTCACTGTTAGTTTTTTTTTTTTCCTATTTCATAGATTGATTTGTCTATCCATCTATCTTTCACCTATCTATATAGTTTCTTTAAGGCCTATACTAATCTCTTTTCAGTTTATTCTAGTTTTCAGATATAAATTAAGTGTGAGCCAGTCTTTCTCCTTTGACAGTCCTTTGCAGTCCTTCTCCTTTGACATATATGCAAATCTAAATAACTTCACTTGCATTTATTCCAAATAAGACAAACTTATGGTATTTCCCTCTGAACCAAACAGTTTAAAACTGGCGAGGGCTCCGCCTTGATAGCATCACTCTCATTTATCATGAAGGTATAGTATTGCTTTATCTGATAAATCACTTTACTGAAGCTTCATTGTGTACAAAGTAAAGGAAATTTATGAAAATTGGGGTAACTGCCATTTCCACTTCCTTCATCCCATGCCCGTGCCCATACTGTTTGGATAGATAGGATTGAAGCAAATGCCATAATTTTCAAGGGAAGCAGAAAACTAGGAGCACTGCAAGGGAAAAAGAGCTCTCTTCACTCTGCAGGATTACCTGTGTCCAGATGGCAAGTGACCAGTTGGTCAGCTGGGCTAGGGTAATGGATATAGTCCCCCTTATTCACTTGAGTATAAAGCATGTGTCCAGGATTAGATTTTAAGCTCCCAGAGTTAGGGGAGGGGAGAGAAGGGGAAGCAATGTTTGTTTGGTAAAATGGTCAATTAATTCTGGATCTTTACTTCCCAACCAATGGGAGAGGGACCACGATCCCACTAAAGTAGAACAGATGCTCTTTTTTCCTTCCTTCCTTCCTCCCTTCATTCTATTCTTCCTTCCTTTCTTTCATCAAAGGTGTGTTACACTTCTAAGATGTATATACTAAGCACAGTGGTAAATGCAAGGAATACAAATGTTAATAAAACACAATCTCAATCCCTAAGGAGTTTACAACTTTCAGGCAGAAACAGATAGATAATATAAACAGGAATTAGCCATAATGTGACTAGAATAGCAGCATCTGTAGTTTAGAAACATAGTGGCTGAACTGTGCTCATACTAATATTTGTCACAATGTATTTATATGGTACTTTATAGTTTACAAAAAGTTTTTAAACATTTCAGAGAACAGTTCTGTGTCCATAGTGCTAGTAATAATTCTGCTTATGAAAAATAAACTATACAAAGTAAAACTTACCTTTCTTCCTCTACCTATAAAAAGAAACGAATAAGTATGTTATTTTATGAAGAAACAATTATTGAGAATCTGCTAATATTTACTTTTCTTTTGGAGTCACAATTTAACTTAAACAGATTACCCTATCACCAGTAGACGGAACTCAAAAGTAAGTTGATTTGGATCATTATTTCCATACAAGGCAAAATAATGCACC